ACACACACACACACAGACAGCCTCTCGACAATATGCGTTTTTTTTTTTCGCTGCACAGCAAAAACGCATAAAAAGGGAAGCATCTTCCGGTAGGATCATGAATAGCAAGTGCCAAGGAGTCAGTAGCAGCAATACCAACGAATTGATGGCAAACACAGTATCTCAAGCCAATAATGGCAACAAGCGTCAGCAGAGCTCAGTTCTCTTACTCTGCAAGACAATCTGGATTGCCAATCCGCAGCAACCAAGAAAGAAGAAGACACAAGCAACAGTTCTCAGGGTGTCAACGATCATTCATCGCAGAGGATCCGGCAAAAAAGCTCGGGATTGAAAAGACTCAACAGAAATCGATTTCAATCACAGCCTTCGCTGAAAAGCAACCCAAAACTTTCGAGTCCTGCACAGTCAAGTTCGATTTGATTTTGGAAAATGGGAAGCACCAAATCATAATAGCGAACACAATAAAGTTCCCGACACAAAGGATTTTGACAACCTCTGTGGACAGCGAGCAAGCGCGCAGATTGCAGGTACTCGACCCAAAAAGAGTCGACTTACTAATGGCTTGGAAGCAGACTCAAATCGTTGTGGGTCTTGGCTATTATTTTCCTACTGTCAGAGGAACACACAGAATTCTCAGGTCAGGTTTTCAACCCACTGATTCAAAAGCAGGAGGGATCCTTGCTGGGAAAGGACAGCTTTACAGTCGTAAGGGTCCTGTACAAGCTCAAACAGCAAACATAACCAGTTCCGTAATGGATCAGGTAGAAGTCAATCGATTTTGGCAATTAGATGCCATAGGCATTACAGAGCCTATAAAAATTACAAAAGAAGAAGCAGTTGAGCAGTTCGAAAATAGCATTACTAGAGATAGTGAGGGACGCTACCTCGTGACTTGGCGATGGAAGACAGAATCTCCATGCCTGCAAACCAATTACGCCATGTGTTTGGCTAGACTCGAATCAGCAGTGGCGAGACTGCGCCACAACCGACAGCTTTTCGAGCAGTACGACCAAACGTTCGAAAAGCAGTTAGCCGAGGGCATAATTGAGAAAGTTGGCATGAGCCAAATTCAAGGTCGTACTACGTATCTCCCACGTCATACTGTGATAACCCCAATGAAGACGACCACCGAGCTACGAGTCGTATTCGACGCATCAGCAAAGACGGCCCAAGGGAAATCTGCTAACGACGAACTGCTAAAAGGACCATCCGTCCTGTCCGGTTTGTGCGGAATCTTGCTTCGATTTCACTAAGCAAAAGTGATGATTCTTGTGGATGTCGGGAAAGCCTTTCTACAAGTGGGACTTCATCAAGAAGATAGATATTGTACCAGATTTCTCTGAATCAAGAACAAGGATGAACTCATCACAGAAGAAAAACTGCAGGAATTTCGGTTCAAGCAGGTGCCGTTTGGAATTGTATCAGGCCCATTCCTGTTGGAATCTACAATTCCCAAACATTTGAAGCAAGACGGTTCTCGAACAGCATTCGAAATTCTTCCAAATCTGTACAATGTGATGCTGACAGCAGAAACGGCCGACCAGGCTATCGAAAAGTATCGACAAACGAAAGAATTGTTTCGTGACGCCAAGATGGACATACGAGAGTTCATCAGCAACAGTCAGCAATTCAACAGAAGGATTCCCAAAGAAGACAGTTACACAAATGTCGAAGTCATCAAAGTTCTTGGAGTACCATGGAAACCCAAAGAGGATCAAATCGT